AAGACACAAAAAAAACATATAAAAAAAAAAAAAAAAAAAAAAAAAAAAAAAAATTGAAGCTTAGGTTTACATATTTTATGGTTTAAAAATTGTACTTTAGTTGCCAAAAATAGGCATGCTAAATAAATTTTTGTAAAATATTTGTTAAAAGAACCATGTTTTAGGTCATGTTCCTAAGACACCAACATAATAGGTACTTTGAACAGAGATATGTTTAGATATTGCCTTTCCAGAGATAAAACAAGTTTTTCATCCTAATAAAGTTGTGAAGTTAATGGGAAAATGCACTGGATATGTTTCCTGGTTCCACTTTATCTCACTTGACATAGCGTGCCTTTTGGCTTTTATATATTTTCAGATAGAACAGTACTGTCTCTGTGTTTTGTGTCTTTCCAAGGAAAGAAGACTATGTTGTGAGCTTGAGATATTTAGTGTTTAGAGTCCACATTTTGTGCATGTGAAATTCAGTCAGTATCCTCTGAGAACTTGGCATCTACCAGTACAACTTTCTAGGCTGTTCATGCTTAGAAAATTTTCTCCTCTTTTCCCAGTTTAAGGAAGCTGTAAAGATTAGCATTTCTTTTACATTGATGTTTTGGTCCCTTTTACACATAAATGATCTACAGATTCTTTCACATAATAATGTTATTAATGTATTGTTTTAAAAATAAAACCATCAAGTATACTAGACTGCATGATAAAAACATCAAAAACAAATTTGTGATATGATAATATGTACAAAAGCTCTAGACAGATAAGTGATTGAAATGAGTGCATTAAGGAAGGGACCTTGGAACAATAGTTTCTAGGCTTCTGGAACTAATGATTAAAGATTAGACAAGATCTACAGGAAACAGTCAGAAGAATTAAAAGCCAGTAGCTCTCAGAGATGTTTGATCTGGCCGCTGTATCCCTTCTGCCTGGAAGAGATTGCCTAGGCTAAGTTGACATGTGTCATGTAGCAAACCATCCTGTTCTTTTGCTGACTCTTGACTAAAACTCCTATACAAATGTTACAAATGCTTTTCTTCTACCTTTTTGTTTTCATATCCTTTAGTTAAAAATAGCCATGGAGGTCTCAGCTTGGTGCTATTTTCTGAGACTTTGTATCAGCTGCTTTGGGCTCTCAGTGATTGAACCAAGTCTTGTCTACAAGCAACCATTCATCCTCTGCCCAACCTCAGTACCACACTGCATAGTA